TTTTCACTCTTGGATAATAATCAGCCTGGACAGAGACCAAATTTAATTTTCCTTCAGAGGAAGTCTGAAGTCTTTTAGCCTATACTGTTGCAGATTAGGAATCTTATCAAAAACTGGTTTTCTTGGGAACCAGCAGTTAGCGTAATGGCTATGTCGCTGGACTCCCACGTAGTTGACCGTGGTTCGCGCCCCGGACCCGGTGGCTTAGAACTCACGCAGGGCACGTGTGCGTGCGTGCCCAAGATCCCAAGAGGTGAATGGAGAAGGGATTGCGGCATGACCATCCCCCCTGGGGAGTGATTTCTCGCTTTCTGTCTCTATGTCTCTCCCTGTCTGTCTGGCGAGCACACGTGCCCTGTAGCGAAAACCTCTGCAAAAAAAAACAAAAAACAAAAAAAAAAAACCAAAAAACTGTTTTTCTTTCCTTCTCTAGAAGTTTTTGGGCTTTTTATTTTGAGGACTAAGGTGTGTCTATGGTGTGTTTAGATAATTTCTAATTTTTCCAGGAGAATTTTTATTATTTTCGTCTTTTATATTTCTCTGGAATGAAATTACAATGATAATGCAATATCTGGATTTCTACTCATAGTATTTAGAACATGTGTTCTATTTTTCTTTTTTCTCTGTGACTTTTCTTCTATGTACCATTCATTCTCTAGGTTCCATCTTTGTGAATTTGATCTATGCAGTGCATCTTGATTTTTAAAATAATAATCTTTAAAAATTCTTAGAACTGACTGCATAGTTTTGTCCCACCCCCTTTTTTTAATTTGTGAAATATACTCTGGACTCTCTACCCTGACATGTACTGTACCTTTCTAACCTCTTCCATTTCTACTTACCTGACCCTTTAGGTATTATTCTTTCATTTAACTATAGTGCCACTCTTTTATGTCATTGTTCTCAAATGCGTGGGATTTTCAAATGTTTATAGTTGTGTTGTTTGTCTTGAGTGCCCTTTTTCTTTCCTCTATTGAAATACAGATTGGCATTTCTTATTGGTGGATGCCGGATCAAAGGACCAGCATTCAGATTAGATCAGATGGCCTGACCTGCTGATGGTGACTGGGGACAGGCTGGCCTGGGAGTCTGGCTGCTGGGCTTGTCTTTTAGGCATTTGCTTCCATTCTTGGCAGTGTCAGGCCAGCACTGTTCACTAAGCGATTACTTCTAATGGTTTTATGCTGAGTGATTAGCTTTCTGGAGTCTAGTGCTATCTAAGCCTCTCATTTCCTTCCCACCAAACACACACTTTCAAAATTTTTATTTTTTGTTATAGAGTTTTAACAAAAACTCCATTTATTTTGAACAAATTTGAAATCAATGCAGGATTTTTCTACTTCTCCCTCCAGCCTCAGTTCTAATCACATTAGGAGTTTCTACTCTGGCATACTTTTCACTTTGTTGTCCTAATGATTCTCAGGTCTGTATTATGAAGAGAAGATCATGAGTGTCTGAGAAAGTCA